GAGGAGCCCGAGGGCTTGATCCCAAACAACTACATTGAAGAGGTGAGTCGTGTCTTTGGTACCCAATGGGGACCTCGGCTCGGCGTGGCTTGAGGCACACGTCCACGACAACGCCACTGCTTGTCTCGCAGATGTATTTCATGGCCACACAACTGACCACGTATACAGGCCGCCCCCATTGCGCAAGCCAAAGCCCTGTTTGACTACGACCGCCAGACGGACGAGGAGCTGTCGTTCAAGGAAGACGCCCTTCTTGATGTCTATGACACCACGGACCCAGACTGGACGTTGGTGGGTGTGGAAAGCGACTATGGGTTTGCACCGGCCAACTACATTGAGCTCATCAAGGGCAAAGCTGCCTCAGCCGCACCCGCTGCACCGTCCCCGGCGGCGCCAAGTCGCCCACCAATGCCCCCAGCCGCCGACTCCTTTGACGACTCTCAGCCGCCTACCCCAGATAGCCCCGCGCAACCAAGCCCTGCTGCGGCACTCGCTGGCATCATTCAGAAGAAGTCTCAGGAAACCGCGCCGCGATCGACCATTTCGCCCCCACCCAACGTTAGCGCGCCTCAGCGACGACGCGTGCAATTCACGCCCGAAGAATCCGACGACGAAGCGCCACCACCTAGTCTTCCTCAACGGCGAGTATCCGAAGCGGCCTCTCATCCGCCTACCCAATATGCAACAGCGCGATCCCCGTCCCCACCGGCCAGATCACCTCCCCCTCGAAGTGTCACGTTTGATAAATATGATCCACCAAGCAGAGAAGAGCAGCCAACCACTCCAAGGTCGGCCTCAGGATACCGTCTCTACAACATTTACGAATACATTACGCAGCCGGGCAAGAACAAGAAGATGCCCATGACATTGGGTGTCAACATTCCCAAGGGCATGATCATGATTGCGCCAGAAAAGTCACGCGACGGGCCGCAACAAGAATGGAGTGCCGAAAAGATGGAGTACTATTCGCAGGAGGGCAAGCACATCTTCATGGAGCTCAAGCAGCCGAGTAAAAGCATTGACTTCCACTGCGGAGCCAAGGACACTGCGTCAGAAATCATGATGGCTCTTGGTGAGCTCGCGGGAGCTGCAAAGAGTGCGGGACTGCGGGAAGTGCTTGCTGCTGGCTCCGGACACTCCAATGTACAGAAAAAGGGAGTCATGTTATTCGACTTTATGGCACAGGGTGATGATGAGGTAACTGTTGGTCTCGGTGACGAGATTCTAGTACTCGATGATTCAGCTAGTGATGAGTGGTGGAAAGTCAGGCGGCTGAAGAACGGCAAGGAAGGTGTCGTGCCAGCTAACTACGTCGAGATTACAGAAACCGCGTCCGTACCTGCTCCTGCTGCCTCGATCGCTCGTTCCGGGACCAATGCTGGCCGATCTATAGTTGAACAGAACAGGCGGGAAGAAGAGGAGTTGGCTCGCCGGGCCGCAAGACAGAAGAGGCCAGAAAGTGAGGCGAGGAACGATCAGGTAGGCCCTGGCCTGCACTTGCCTTCGCGTAACTCTAGCCTTTTGCAGACAAATATTGACCAGCGTCGTGCCTCACAGAGAACAAGCAAGCGCGAAACCTCCTCCAAAGACTCGAGTTCGAAGTCCTCGTCCAAGCCAAGTGAGTACATTATTATACCAAAGGTTGAGTTGTCAGCGGTGCGAAATGCTCTGATGCATTTGCCTGTGGGCGTATTCCTCAATGGGGCTGTGACGTCTTAAGGTGTTTTAAATACTAATCGATATGTGCTAGACCCCGCCAAAGTGCGCACCTGGACCGACCGATCTGGCTCGTTCAAGGTTGAAGCCGAATTTATTCTTATCAAGGATGGCAAGATTCACTTGCACAAGGTCAATGGTGTGAAGATTGCAGTACCCGTCACAAAGATGTCTGTCGAGGATCTTGAATATGTCGAGCGCGTCACAGGCGAATCTCTGGATGACGACAAGCCTTTGTCTGACTTGAAGAGAAAGACCATGCAGCGATCAAAAGACGGACGTTCTCCGACTGGGTTGTCGGTTGAGAAGAAGCCCGAGTACGACTGGTTTGACTTCTTCCTCAAGTGTGGTGTCAACCCGCAAATATGTGAACGTTATTCTCGGGCGTTTGTAAAAGACGAAATGACCGAGGAGAATATTCCAGACATCACGCCGTCGCTTCTGCGTACTTTGGGTCTCAAAGAGGGCGATATCCTCCGCGTGTCCAAGTACGTAGATGCCCAGTTCGGGCGTAACAAGCAAAACGCCGGCTCTGCAGAGGACAATGGAGAGGGAGCGTCTGGTGGACTATTCTCTGGACCCGGAGGTGCACTTCGTAACAACACCCGCAAGGGACGTCCTGCACCTCCTGTGGAGACCAACGATGTGGTGGATCCAAAGGCATTCGAGACGAAATCCGACGACGCTGGAAAGAAGCCTGCAGAGAGTGCTGCAGCTTCTGCAGGTACATCGGACGCCAAGGCGAACGGATTCGACGACAATGCCTGGGATGTCAAGCCATCAAAGTCGGCACCTGCTTCTGCTCCAGAAAAGTCTGCGTCTCCACCTCCAGCGCAGTCTGCACCTGCTGCAAAGCCACCTCAGTTGACTGGAGCTATGGGCGAGCTGTCCCTCTTGGATATGCCCGCCCTCAAACCCGAGGAGATTGCTCAGCCAACACCTCCTGCTCCTGCGCCTGCTCCACAGGCAGCACAGGCACCCGCTCCACAGCAGCAGCCACAGCAGACAGGAGCTACTCCAACTCTGTTCGAGCAGGTTGCAGCTATCAAGGCCTTGACTCAACCTCAGAACATGGCACCACCACGCATGCGTCCACAGGCTCCTCAGCAGCAGAGTACTGGCGGTCTGCTCGCTCCACCACCTCCACGTGCAGCCTCAGCTCCGCAGAACCCGCAACAGAGTGCGTTTGGTCCGCCACCACCTCTGCAGCCTCAGCTTACTGGCTACAACCCCAACATGATGACTCCAAACGTTGGACAGGGGCAGGGAATGCAAGGAATGCAAGGCATGCAACCGCAGATGACTGGGTTCCCCCAACAAAATGGAGCATACGGGTTCCAGCAGAACGGCATGATGGCGCAACCAACGGGATTCAATTCCATGTCGCCGGCACCACCGCAACAGCCCATGCAAACTGGGTTTGCGCCATTTCAGCAGCCTCAACCTACAGGGTTCCAACAACCAATGGCGACGGGCTATCAGCAGTCACCGCACTTCACCCAAGGGTTTGGTAACGGCAGTCCGTTTGCGGATCCCCCAATGGCACCTTTCCAACCACTGCAGGCCCAGCCGACTGGATACAATTCGTTCCAGCCAGCACCGCTTAACCCGCAAGCGACTGGTGTCAACCGCTTCTTGCCTCCGGCAATTGTGCCGCAGCCGACGGGCTTTGGTCAGAGCCCACCACCGGTACCTCCGATGCCGCCTATGCCGGGTATGCCGCAAGCACAGCCTTTAGTGCCGCAAAAGACTGGACCTCCCCCAAGCATCAAGTTTGGTGTTCAGCCTGCGAAGAAGCTGACAGCTCAGCCAACGGGACGGGCGAACCTCGCCAATGCTAGTAAGTGGTTGTATTTGATGATTGATGGTCGTGTTGCTAACTTATTTACTAGCTCCTCAGAACCCCTTTGGCTTTTAAGCTTTTTGGTGTATTATTGGCATGGATGTACCAGCGCCCTCTTTCATCTCTTGCCCTGTTTTGTTTAGATGAAGGCGGATACAATTAATCATTCTACCTCTACGTGTACTTGTACATAATTTTGCTATCGTGGGGCGTGGTTGCGGGTTGGAAAGAGTTGGATGGATTCTGCTCTGGCGCAGAAGGGACCCACGGCATATTTTGAGTTTACTTTTTTATTTCTTTACATAGCGCATACTAGCATGTCCGTGCCTCCTTGGGAAGTAATTGTTAAAGTTCTCTGAACGTATCTGGGCAATTGATTGAGGATGCGGGTGGAAGAGGAGTGGCGCATGGGATGGTGGGTGAGCAAAGGGAAATCGTGGGAAAATGTACAGCTAGGATGGATAATGGAATTACAAAGGTTGACAAGAGCTCCAGCTAAACGCGTTCTGCCGTGACGATTGAGGAAAGGAGAGATGCAAGGGACATGTACACTGAGAGATTGCAGCTAAGCCCTGTGCAGCCCAGTATCGTTCAGATTAGAGCTGTTGTCAGGGACGGGGCGGGGCGCAGGCGAGACTGGGATGAGACTTTGGCACCAAGCCTTTGCCAAGTAAAGCTTAGTTTAGCGCATCCCCCGACAGCCCATGTCACGGCATCTCACGCGGTTTCTTCCTACCGACATGACATGTACGGGGTGCATAGCAAACTCACGTATAAGGGGGTCGCGTGGCTCAGACCTCGAGCGCGCATCTCTCTTGTTGGTTTTGGTCAGGCTTCGCAAGGGAAGAGGCATCTTCTGGTACTGCTGCAAGACCACATGTATTTGTTTAGTACTACCACGTATGTACGACGTAGCCACAAGCCTCAAACACAGATGAAGAGGCGCAGCGCAGTCGCGTATTGCTGTGTCGGCCCAATGAGCAAAAAGGCGCACAGTGACAGATGATTGAAGCATGGGTGGAGCTTGTGGCGATGACGAGTCTCGGCCAGTTTTGCGCCAATAGAAGCGCACGTAGCATGTGGCTTATGCCCCAACGGCCGAATGATGCGTCGCAGCGCCGCTGTGCTGCGTGCGCGTGAGATGGATGGGGATTATAGTGGCTAGGCCATGTTGTGGTAAGCATTAGCTTTCCCCTCTTCCGGGCCCGGCGGCTTCTTAGCTATAATCTTCTTTCCTCCTTTCCTTCTTCTTTCCTCACCCACTCTTCCTCTCTCTGTCTTGTCTATCCCCACTTCCAACCCAACAATCTCACCAAAATAAAACTCGGCGCAATCATCAATTGCTAGCAACTCTTACCCATCAGCTTTTTTTTTCCTCTGCGCGACCCTCGTAGCGATCAAAACGCTGCTGCTCCCGTAAGCATACAATAAGCCGTCGCGGAAACCTCGGGATTGTCCCTTTTGTCGCTCCTACTTGATACGAGCGCTCTACACACATCCACAAACAAACTCGACACGAGCGAGCTTTGAGAGTCTGGGAAACTATCCCATTTTCATCTCCGGACGCACGACGCAACAATGTCCAACCAAGGATACTATCAAGGCCAAGGCGCTCCTCAGTACCCCCAGCAAAGGTACGTTTCACCCTGCTTCTCGCCGCGCTTGTTATTTGGGGAATCCCTTTTAGCAAGTGTTGTTGGAAGAGAGAAATAATCCGCAAGAGCAAAGAAACTGACTTTTTTTTCTTCAAAATAGCTATGGCCCTCCCCAAGGTGCCAACTACGGCCCTCCACCTCCACAACAAATGATGTACGGACCTCCGCAGGGCCAGGCCCCACCACCTCAGAAAGAGAAGAAGGACAGGGGATGTCTGGCTGCTTGGTATGTTGCTCCTCTTTCTTTTGTTCATTTTGCGTGTACACTCTTCGAGAGAACGACGAAGATAAAAGAATTCAAATTACCATTCCCACTTCAAACGCTAACTTGGAGAATAGCTTGGCCACCCTGTGCTGTTGTTTCCTGTGCGAGGAGAGCTGCGAATGCTGTCTTGAATGCTGCGAGTGTTGCGCAGATTGCTGCTAGATGACGTCTCGATGCAGTGTGCGATGAGATTGGAGGAATGAACGGGTTTCAATCGATTGGTACCATGGGAAGGTCATCAAGTCTGAATTATGGCTTTTGAGGATTCTGGACGCATTCCCAAGGTGATGTGGTGTCTTCATTTGCTTTTTTTGTTTCATCATTCAAAGATACACATTACTTTGTTCTGGGGGGAAAGATACCTTTGTACTTGTTTTCTACGCTTTTCTCCTATATAATACAAATTCACGGTTTGCTCCGGTGAATCCTTTTTCCCAATTCGTTTCTGACGTCAGTGGGTAGCTGTTGAACTCTCGCGCGAGTAGCTGTTCCTCTCTTGTTTACCGGCTCCTTTTATTAATTCATTCTACCACAATGTTCCGCACGTTTGCTCTCTCATGCTGGATGTCCAATCAATCACACATCAATTGAACGGGTTTACTTTTACTTTCTCATTAGCGCGGCCAATGAGAGTAAACCAGATACTAAGGCTACAGCCCTCTCACCCTGACTCACTCACTAGTCGCACACACTTGATTATCTCTCACTTACAGTGCACTGTCATATAAAAGACTCTCCTGCCCTTGCGGCTCTTGAGTCAAGCTCCTTGTCACGAACATTGACACGACAAGTCGGAATATGGATCGACCAAAGTACTGTGCTCTTTCCCTATTGATTGGCGATTACAGAATTGCTGACTGATGCGTTAGAGTTATCAAGAAAGAAGCTGCCCAAGATCGAAATCGGTGAGGACTCGGACTTGACGCAGATCTCCAAACGCAACGCGGTTGAGTCGCCGCTTCTCCGCCTTCCAGGCGAAATACGCAACATGATCTGGCAGTATGTACTGAGCAACCATTTCATCTCGATATATGAGCAACCCGGGGGGTCCATAAGAGAATATGCACGTTCCACAGAAAACAACAAACTCACTCCGGTTTCTTTGGGGAAGCGTCTTCTCAGCGCGAGTCGCCAGATATATGAAGAAACGTCAAACATGGTATATTCACTCAACACAATCAGCTTAAACTTCAGGTTCACCCTTGATTCCTTTGTCAGTCACAGCATACCCGAGAAACTCCGCCTTATCACTTCAATCGAAGTGCCCTACGACTATATAAAGTGTATAAATTAGGGCATTGCAAGAAGTTCCATGAGATATTTCCACATATCAAGCATATTTCCATCGATGATTATTTGATCGGGCACCGACATCATATCAAAGACTTCTTTTGGACTCCCCATGACATGGCCGAGAAGGGAAAGAAGAAGGCTGAGGATTTCATAAGGAGTAGGGAAGGACGAGATCTTGAGATTTCTTGGTATTGTGATTCGGATGGTTGGTGTTGGTTGGTATGTTTGTCTCCTAACACTAATAACTCTCTGGAGTTGGTATATGTGCATGCATATCGCATGACCCCCGGTCCTTGGTCATAAAGGAGGCAGATGGTCAATTTTCCACTACCCGCTACCAGGTGCTTGGCTTCAGAATGGGACTTCTTTGCATTTATATTCATGACCAAAACAGAGTTTAGAGGTTTTACCACTAAGTTACTCCGCGTGAGAACCACCCTTCGTAAAATATTATGAACTAAACATTGAAACTACGCCAGTGCTGGTAATGTGTAACGGGGGTCCAATCCACCCCTCCCCCTCCTCTTTGCCGTTTAAGATGTATACTTGCTCCCTCCCCCCCCCTTCTCCCCTTCTCTCTTCTCTTGTATCCTCTCTCTTTCGCAAGCTCAGTGCAGGAGCACTGTAAGCTATCTATTATCCATTATCAAATCTTCTTTTTGTTGCAACAAGGTCGCTTGCTTGCTTGTGTTTGTTCCTCTAGAGCGCATGTGGTCCTGGCGTGTGCTTAGATTGGTGTATCTGCGCATCGATGCATGGGAAGCAACTGAGAAAGTATCATATGCTCCTTTCTATATGTGATGGCGTAACGATGGGGAATTCGTAGGCTGTGTTCGCAAGCCGGGCGGAAGTACGGAGATGGGGGTGTGTCGTTCGAGTTCGGTTCGTGGTCCTTGGTCACTTCCTTGATTGACGGCGTGTATGTTGATGTCGTTGGTAGGAGCGGTGAATCGACACGGCTTGTTACTCTCCCAGACGCACTCAGTGTTGATGATTCCAGCCTAGGTCTTCGTGGTATCCCTCTGCAGGGGGTTACACTAAATCCAAGCGAGCCGTTCGGAATGATGGTCGAGATAATATCGTAGTCATGACGTCGGTCATAATCGCAGCGTTACAGTCCCAGGGAAGGAACGCAGTCCTCGCCCTCACATCAACGACTGCCGTAATCGGAATCCCGTATCACCCCCTCTTCTGTACGACACATCTTTCCTCTACTCACGCATCCCTTTTTATTTTCTCAACTTCCAACAATTCATCTCACCCTCAAACGGTATACCGCTCTTGCATCATCATCTCTGCCTCATCCCTCTTCGCAAGCACAAACGCAATCTCCGACCCCACGGCTACCACGACTGTCGCCACCATCCCGATCGGCGCTCCGATAGCCCCAAACCCCAAAATGGTAAAGCAGGTATACCCCGTGAAAATAGAAAGGTACATTACGCGAAAGAAGAGCAAGAAAAGGTCATCGCGTCTAGGCTTCGTCATAGTCACCAAAGCGGGAATCTTACAAAGAACAAAAAGAAGAGGTTGCAGCAAAGTAAGGAACTGGCCCTTACATGAAAGAAGAAAAGTAAAAAAGTAAAAAAAAACAAAAGGCGTTCAGCTCCGTGTCCCATCCGAACACCCACCACTACCACTACCACAGACCCCAGGTTTGCCAGTCTGACCTTGCTAACTATGTTTCTTTTTTTAGATACGAGACTGCCCGCTGCAGTTTGACGTTTGAATGTGTCTAGACTAACTAGTCAGCAGCCAGTGAGAAAGACGACGGATCACCCCCTGACCCAGCGAACAAGACCCAAAGAGGAACGATGGAACAATTGAATATTATTGTCAATCGGGAAATAATAACATATAGGGACGGGTAGCCGCCCCAGAAAGTTATTGATATACTGACTCGCGCATTCTTCAAACGGGGAGGGACAATCCTTGGGGTGGATATCTGTGTGTGTGTGCCCCACTGTCACGCACTTGAAGGGGCGTTCAGCCTCTTACTGCAAAGACGCGTCAGCCTTTTCTTTTGCTGCGCTGCTCTCAGCCCGCAGGGCCGCGACATAATCAGTGTGTAAAGCTGGCGAGGTTTGATTGGTCTTGTTCCAATTGTCTTGTTCTCGGCGTCTTCATTCCATCTGTTGTTGTTTTGTTCAACAAGGCCATGTCCAAAACAGGCACTACTAAATCGTGTTGAAACACAAGGGTCATTGCAATAGCGCTCGGGCCATGTCGGTTGCGAGGTTTTTGGCAGACTGTCAAACAGTGTCAAACTTTGAGTGGGTTGCTATGGATCTACTGAATTGCTATTTTCGGGTTTCGTCCTATCAAACAGATGGGAGGGGTTTGGAGGGTTTGGGGGGGAAGGGAATATGTAAAAAGGTCCGATTTGCAGCTGTTGTAGTACCGAAACTTTGTATGCATTACCGACATGAGCCATGTGGATGGTTGGTCTACGCATACGCAAGAAAGCTTTCGTGGAGCATACGGTGTCGTAAGATCGATTTGCTGCTAGTATTGTGTGGCGGATGCGGGATACGTAAACATGCAGGTCTTGGTATCGTGTATCGAAAGTCATGACCGCACGAACATGGATCATGGTGGCAATGCTATGCACATGGTAGGAAATCAACGTGTACCACCATGTAAACCCTCAAACGTGATCAAGACATTGGTGTGGTGCGATCTGCAAATGCAGGCAAGATTCAGGTTCCCGGGCTTGACTACAGATCTGCCCTACTTGGAAAAATACCAGCAACCCAAGTCTACCATCCCTCGCCATTCTCACCCAACTTGAATAGACCATTCTTCTTCTTATCAGCAGCCCACCTCTCACACCACACCTTCATCTTCTCCCTGCTGCTCGCGTTTCCCACATTGACTGTTGGTATTATCTTGTCGATATTCAGTGCACAACAGAACATGGTCAGCTCCCTGAAGCTGCTGTGCTCACTGTAGGGTACTCCAAAGCAACTCGCCCGGCTCCCGCTACCCGCTTGCGGCTTTAGATCTTTCATGGCAAATGTGCTTTTCCAGTTATCCGAATGTAGGACAGTTTGCACTTGAGGTGATTCAGTGAAGCGACCTTGAGGTGGACGATAGTTCCAGCCAGATGGTCGAAAACCAACAACACGTGAAAAGGTATCAGCGTAACCACGTAGATAGTCATCCAACGTCTCTGCTCGAATCTCAAAAAGTGGTGTCATATGCACCTGAGCAGCACGAGGATCGGTAGTCAGCAGCGCATCTAGCTCAGGGTCTTCAAGGGCCTTGCAAATGCGTTGCTTGTTGGCGGGGGCGTATATCTTGCTTTTCAAAGCTTTGGCGATGCCCGTGCATATGCGTTCCTTGCCAATGCTGTATGTGCCTACCACGACAAGAAGGCGACCCCGCTCAGGACTCTTCGGCTCCGATGGGTTCTCCGGATTAGAGTCCTTTTGTACAAAGTTGACCATACCTTGCCCGGCCCGTTTTCGCTTCATCTTCTCCCATCCGTCCGACTCATCAGCACGAGTCTTGCTGAGGCTAACGCACATGTCTGCGCAAGCCTGAATGACCTGCTGTTGTGGTGGGAAGGCGTACTTTGGGTTGAGGTAGGTGGTGTCAAGGTAGCATGCGTCGAGCTTTTGCTGTCTGCTCTTTCCACTGACAGCGTCTAGTACGTCTGGTCGAAGTAGTGGATGCTCGACATGTGCTTGGCAAGCGCGGAAGTCTCCGCAGTGTAGGACTCTCTGCAGCTTTTGGTTCTTCCCTTTGCCGACTTCCTTCTCAAACAGGAAAAGAGAGCTACCTGGACAGTGGTTTGCTGATATCATCGTCACGAAAACGCCTCCAGTCCCTGGCACTTCGGTCTTCACTTCAAAATCTAGGTCGACCACCCATTTCGGGTCAACCCGAAGTTGCTGTCGGACTAGATTGCCTGTAACTTTACTGCAATAAATGGGTCCGTGCTTCCAAGATGCACTAAGTCCAACGTAGTGATCACTGTGAAAGTGGCTGAGAAAATAAGCGTTTTGGCCCTTGACAGCACCATAGCGAAAAGCATCGACGGCAATAAAAAAGCCCGGCATGATCTTGTAGAATGGACAGGTGCGCTGGTAGGCTGGCTTGCCTCGCGACTTGTTATTCTCAGCTGCCGCACTTGCCCATGCTGCATCTTCGGCATGGCCAGCCATGAGCTTTGAAAACGCAGAGCTTGGCTGAGTGTTGGGCTTCGCAAGCTGAAATGGGTTTGCTTGGCCGGGTTTCGCTGGTCGCTCAGGTCGCTTGGACATCTTTACACTACTGCCAGCGGTTGGTTTGCTTTCCTGTTCTATCTTCGCTGTGGGGAGCAGAAGTGGCTTGCCGTCCAGGCACGCGTTGACGTGAACAGACACATCTTGTTCTGACAGTCCAGGGAGACTATTACCGCATATTGGACATGAAGGTACATTGGTATCGTTTTCTTCCGTTTCCTGTTTGATATCCAGTGCATCATTTTCGGGGAACAGGAAGGGCGCCTCAGAGTCGTCTGTATCGCCCTCCATCTCCAGCCTCTGTTGTTCCTTCATCCAACGCCTTTCATCGTATTCTTCACCCTCAAGCAAATCGTCATCCTCAAGACCTTCGTAGTCCTCGTATTCCTCATCATTGGGGATAATTGTGGGTTCTGGCTTGGGTGAGGGGGTGCGGGCTATTGAAGGTTCAATGCTTTCCATGGGTATCGGATCCTCGGTCTCTTTAGCAATTGGTGACTTTGCACTATTTCTTCGCATAGCCATACCTGGACTTGTAGCAGGCATCTCCGCTTCGTCTTCGGACTCCGAATCGTCTACAAAGGGACCTGATCTCTGACGCGGCTTCGACGCTTGTTTGGGTGCATGAACTGCAAGAGCATCCAGAGCGTTGCTCTCAGCATCCGCCGGTGGGGGCGACGAACAGGCTGGAGGTGGGGCTACTGGTTCTTCACTGACTTTGCGCCGCTTGATGCTGCCACCATTCTCATTATACCGATCCTCGCTGCCCGAGTCCATGACGCCATTGTTCTTCTCGTCGCTCCAGCCAACATCCTCCTCATCGTTTTCGAGCGCAACAGTTGGATTTGAGCCTCTTTCCTGTAGGAATATGCGGTTGTTGATCTCTTCGGCCTTCTTGAAGAACGTCATAATGTTGCCATTGGGCGTCCCTGCTGGCTTCTGCTTCTTGCCATTGCTCGCAGAAGTCGACTTCTTGGCAAAATCAGCAGGCGTGAGCGTAGTCTGAATGACATTCTTCTTTGGCGGGGGCGTATTTGTGCTCGGCTTGGGCGTTGCTTTCTTTGTCGCGGTTTTAGTGGCCATGGCTGCGTTGCTTGACGAAGAGCGGGGCGGCGAGGGGGGCCGTCCAGTTGAGGGGCTCAATTTCGACGACTCGGACAGCGTGCGGTTCTCTCGAGGATTCCTGAACATGAGAATGGCTGTTCCACATAACCGAGCGTCGCTGAAATGCTGTTTGGTCTATGCTGTGGGTTTGCCCCAGTAGCTGAGTGGCGAGCGCATCGGTTCAAGGCGCGCCAAGATAAACGCGTGGACACGTGAGCGTCATGCACGCTTGCCACTTTGCGTCTATTCCCTATTGTATGTAATGGCGAGGAACCTCCATACCCACGTCCTTAAACAACGAATACTTTTGGTGAAGTCGAATCGAGGCAATACTAGTTTATTGTTTTTTATTTACAACTTCTCCAGTAAGCGCAAGTGAGGAGGTAATTCAATGTTCAAGAGAGCCAACGTGATGTCGCCTATTTCTCACTTGTTAGTACAAGTCCGCAAAAATGAATTGTGTAGGGA